TGTGTGTGAATGTGTGTATGTATGTGTGAATGTGTGTATGTGTGTGTGTGTGTGAATGTGTGAATGTGTGTGTGTGTGTATGTCTAAATGTGTAAATGTGTGTATGTGTAAATGTGTGAATGTGTGTATGTGTGAGTGTGTGTGTGTATGTGTAAATGTGTGTATGTGTGAATGTGTGTATGTGTGTATGTGTAAATGTGTGTATGTATGAATGTGTGTATGTGTGAATGTGTAAATGTGTGTATGTGTGAATGTGTGTGTGTGTGTCTAAATGTGTGAATGTGTAAATGTGTGTATGTGTAAATGTGTGAATGTGTGTATGTGTGAGTGTGTGTGTGTATGTGTAAATGTGTGTATGTGTGAATGTGTGTATGTGTGTATGTGTAAATGTGTGTATGTGTGAATGTGTGTATGTGTGTATGTCTAAATGTGTGTATGTGTAAATGTGTGTATGTGTGAATGTGTGTATGTGTGTATGTGTGTAGTGTGAGTGTGTGTGTGTGTAAATGTGTGAATGTGTAAATGTGTGTATGTGTAAATGTGTGTATGTGTGAATGTGTGTATGTGTAAATGTGTGTATGTGTGTGTGTGTATGTGTGAGTGTGTGTGTGTATGTGTAAATGTGTGAATGTGTAAATGTGTGTATGTGTAAATGTGTGTGTAAATGTGTGTAAATGTGTGTATGTGTGTAAATGTGTGTATGTGTGTATGTGTGTGTGTGTATGTGTGTGTATGTGTAAATGTGTGTATGTGTGAATGTGTGTGTATGTGTAAATGTGTGTATGTGTGAGTGTGTGTATGTGTATGTGTAAATGTGTAAATGTGTGAATGTGTATGTGAATGTGTGTATGTGTGAAGTGTGTGTGTATGTGTAAATGTGTGTATGTGTGAGTGTGTGTGTGTATGTGTAAATGTGTGTATATGTGTAAATGTGTGTATGTGTGTGTGTAAATGTGTGTATGTGTAAATGTGTGTATGTGTGAATGTGTGTATGTGTGAGTGTGTGTGTGTATGTGTAAATGTGTGTATGTGTGAATGTGTGTATGTGTAAATGTGTGTATGTAGTGTGTGTGTGTGTGTAAATGTGTGTATGTGTGAATGTGTATGTGTAAATGTGTGTATGTGTGAATGTGTGTGTGTGTATGTGTAAATGTGTGTATGTGTGTATGTGTAAATGTGTGTATGTGTGAGTGTGTGTATGTGTGTGTGTGAGTGTGTGTGTGTGTGTGTGAGTATGTGTGAATGTGTGTATGTGTATGTGTGAATGTGTAAATGTGTGTATGTGTGTATGTGCGTATGTGTGAGTGTGTGTGTGTGTGTGTATGTGAGTATGTGTGAATGTGTGAATGTGTAAATGTGTGTATGTGTGAATGTGTGTATGTGTGAATGTGTGAATGTGTTACATCTGTAAAATAAAAAAAAGGTAAAAATGGGTCTAAATATGAAATATATTTTGAATAATCATCAGAAACGTCAATATGTCAAATAGCAAATATCACACTATGTTCTGATCTGTGTTATATTGTAGTTTCCTCATCACAAACAGACCTGAGTTGTGTTTTGTTTCATTCTCACGTGTTTGAGTAACTCTTTATTATTAGTCAGTCTAAGTCTCCTAAGCTCTAAATGCTCTGTTCCACCTTGTGATGTCATAAAGTGGTCATTTTAACAGCAAGTGAACAGCTTTTACCTTTAGTTCAGTAGACTGGCAATTTCAGGGATGAAATCACCTAAATGTTTCTAGTGAAGGTGTACGGAGTTTAAAAATGCAGCTTATTACCACATGACATCACAAAGTGGGACTGTTTTCTGTTTGTGGGGTTTGTGTGTTAAACATGTGTGAGTGTGTTTACATGCACATCAGTATCCCGGTGATGATCGGGTTTTTTGAGTATCCCGGTGTCGTCATGGCGCATGTATAGGCCTACACAGTATCCTGGTTTCAGTATCCCAAATAAGGCAGTATCCTAGTTACGAGAAACCAGGATAATGTAGCTGTAATATTCCAAAAGTAACCAGGATACTGTGGCATGTAAACGCAGTATCGTGAATACTGCAACATACAGTTGAGTGAGCAGGTGTCCAAACGACAAACACTTTTCAGTCTTTTCACCACTACAGTAGTGACATAAATAAAGTGACTGCACATGAGTGAAATGATTGAAGCCTTAGTCACAATAACCTGCACTGGTCCCCACGGGCGGTTCACGGGCGATTTTTGTCCAAGTCTGTATGGGGCTCCAAGTGGCTCGTACAAGATTCCAAGCTCGTAGACGCCCGGTGAGCCCGTAGGGAGGAAATGTTCATGCACATTTTTTCCTGCGAGCGTCCTATGGGCGGCACCTCGTAGCAAACACGTATCTCACACTTACAGGGGAAGTGCGGGTCAAATACGTGTCACGCAGGTGTGTCGCCAATTGCGTCGTTCCTACGGGTCACGTGCACGCCTCACGCGACCCGTATAAAAGCTGATGCGATGCCCTGTGCGGGCACACACGAGTCGTAGCAGCCGTACTGTACACACCAAGTTTTCGCCAACGAGATGCCGCCCAAAGGGAAGGCAAAGGGAAAGAGGACGGGGAAGGACTGTGACACTGAGGGCCCGGAGACTGCAGCAGGAGCAGGGGCCACAGCAGGTCCCCAGGCCGAGGAGGAGGCAGTCAGAGAGTGAGGCACTAGTGGGGACAGAGACACGGCCACAGCGCGATGGCCACAGGGAAGAGTTGGCATGGCCATGGTCGAACAATGAATGAGTACGATGTGATGAACTGGTGATGATGAGCCCAGTATTATACTGTATGATCTCAGAAAAGTTAAACATGAACCATCTCCAACGTGATATACACAAAGAACAGACTCACCATCAGCAGCACATCCTCTGTCACAGAAAGAACACGAGGAAAGAGCAGGTTTTTTCAGCTCTAACAGTTCATGCAAATTAGCTGTGTGGTTATAAGTTTTGTTTCTGTAAAATGTAAACAAATGTGTCAAAGCTCCATTATATTAACAAACGGGCTGATGTGGCTCTATAGTGGTGATGGTTTATATGTTGTAAAGTTGAGTTTATTTATGCAGAAGATTTTAATGAAGAATCTGCTGCAGTGTAGAACTTTTACGATGTTTGGAAACATTCGGTTTGATCTGCAGTGGATTGTGGGATACCTCAGAGCTCCTTACGCTGGTTAGAAACCTCCCAAACACATTTGTAAGATTATGTCAAGAATCTTACAAAGAAGAATTGAGATACTCCATTTGATCCTGAACACAGGGATATGAGTATCCCGGTTTCTCAGAGCACATGTATGCACAGTGTCCCCAATACTGACATAACCGGGATATGGCTAATAACAGGATACTGATGTGCATCTAAACACACTCAATGAAACAAAACACAACTCCAGGTCTGTTTGTGATGAGGAAACAACACTATAACAGATCAGAAAACAGTGCAATATGGGCCCTTTTTGTGGCTAAAATATTTTGTGCTGAGTTCCCTGGTGTAGATGCCCTCAGCTTCCTTCTTCAGGGTGAAGGTGGCAGTGTTCCTCTTCCCCTTTTATAATCAGAAGACGTACATCTGTGGAGGATGTGACATCGCAAATTGTAAACAAACTAAATTATATAATGATATATTATTTTAAATAAAAGAAACAAAAAGCTCACAAAGCGAGAAGAAATTAATATTTAAGTTTATGAATAAGAACTATTTAAAATCAATTTGATAATTTCATCAAATTGTTTGTTTGTTGAAATTTGCAATGTCACGTTGTCCACAGATGTACGTCTCCTGATTATAAAAGGGGAAGAAGAACACTGCCACCTTCACCCTGAAGAAGGAAGCTGAGGGCATCTCCACGTGACAACTCTAAATCAACACAAAATGGTTCATTGATTAGGTTATATTGAAGAGCTACAGAATCATTTATTCAATCAGACTTATTCAGCAAAATTGACTGTTCTTCTCATTTACCTTCTGAACTTCTATTTGGAGTGATTTCGTGCATCTTTAATCACTTATTTTCAAGACGTCATATTACAGACTGATCACTCTGTATCCATTTTCATTTTGTAATTGGTGAAACTGGTACAAACAAAAAATGGGGTTTCGCTCATCAACGTCTGAGCCTATAAAACAAAATACATAACACTGACATTCTAGTAACATTTGATATACAGTTTACCCCACGCTCATGTACTGTGTGTACATGTGTGTACATGTGTGTACATGTGTGTGTACATGTGTGTACATGTGTGTACATGTGTGTGTGTGTGTACATGTGTGTACATGTGTGTACATGTGTGTACATGTGTGTACATGTGTGTACGTGTGTGTACATGTGTGTACGTGTGTGTACATGTGTGTACATGTGTGTGTGTCTCCAACCTTTTTTCTCTGGTGAGTTCCTTTACAAAACAAAAACGTCAGAGACTTTCTCTTTTTATTGGTCACAAGAATGTGAATGTTTATAAAAGTCACTCTCAGCCTCAGATGTTTTAACTGCCAATAAAACATAAACCATTGTCCATTTATTAGAGCAAAATGGTGATTCCTCAAATTTTAGTCATTCAGCAAAACACGTAGAATTCAGAAATCCCTTGGTGAGAAACTTTGAAGTACAACTGGAAGCTCCCTGGTCTCTGGTAAATACACAGTTTTGGAATAATAATGTTATATTATAATAATGATAAAAATAATGTTAAGAGTCAAACATTTGTAGATTTGGATATTTCTTTTAAAAACAGTAAATCTCCCATCGTGTTATAGAAGATGGACGTGATCTTTTCCTTTGTCTTAAGGTTCTAAAATCCACAATAAAACCAAACCTGTTTTGAAATAAAACCTCACAAGTTGTGACATAAGTTGAGGTGTTTTTTTTTTTTTTTGACTTGTACTTTCTGGCGTGTGACGTCGGGGGAGGGGTCAGGTGGGGGCGAGCATGGGGGGGGGGGGCCCTTTTTATAAACCAGGAGAGTCTGTCACTTGTGAGAGGTGAGTGGGACAGAGGAAGCTGGTGCCAAATGATCGATTTACACACATCTCCATCACTTCTGCTTTTGGACCAGAAGCACAAACATCTCCAGATCCACTCCCACCAAAGAGAGGTACATCACCATCAGCCTAGACCTCCTGTCTTGGTTTATTTCTGGTTTAAACTTGGTTTAGCCCTGCTTTTTTCTGTGTGTAGTCTTGATTCAGCCCTGATATATTATCTGTGTGATGAACCTGCTTTATGTTCTTGTTGGTCTCCTCAGATATGGCCGTGTTCCTGCTCTACCTTCTGCTGGTTCCTCTGGCTCTGCCTCCGGTTCTCTCCAAGGCAACCCACTACATGTTTAAGAGACAGCACACCTACGGAACCTTATTCCCGAACTGTGACGACTTCATGAATTCAGCCCTTAAGGTACATAAACAGGTTTATGTGTTTTTCTAATTATGACTTGGTTTGGGACTCCTCTGCCCATGTCATCCACACTGAAATATTCTTCCAAAATGCAGAAACATTTGTCTCTTTGAGTCAGAGGGAAAATCAGTGAAGCCGTTTCTGCTCTAAAGTAATACTTATGAGGTTTTTACAGAGTTGCACTAAAATCAGTAAATCCTGACAGATCAGACAGTGGACAGAGAGCTGTGGGTGGACGTCACTGACAACAGGTCAAACACTTTATAAACTCATCATGATTATATTAGAGCAGAAATGATCAAACCAACTGTTCCTCTGGGTAGAATTAACCAGTTACACATTTTACAGATTAAACATGAATTTAACAAAATAAAGGTGCTGTTATTTTTATTAGTCTATAAAAGTAAAAAAAAAATACATAGCACACTCAGAGAGCCGATGTCCAAAAGCTTTTTTTTATTTTAAAATTACGTTTGGGCAAAAAAAAGGTTTTACCGAAACATAATTTAAAAATTAGTTTTGGCCCTTGTTAACATTATGGTGACTACATAACAGAACTGTAATTACATTTACATGTGTCATATCTGCTGTCTGTTTATAACCAGGAAGTAAAAGTATTTTTAAAAAGTAAAATAGAATCTTAACTATAATGATGTTAACTGTTATGGAGAAAAATTACCCTAATGTATCTTATTCACTTTAAAGGATCTCAACATGGGGTGCAAGCAGTGCAACACCATCATCCTGGGAGACGACGCCTACAGCTCCGACCTGAACGATGTCACAAACATCTGCACCACCGGTGGGACCAATGTAGGGAAGGATTTATACCAAAGTCACAAGAAGTTTAGGGTGATCTATTGCAATCTGTTGTCTGGAGACAAGCCACCCGACTGCAAATACAGGAAGGTCAGCCCAAGGAACATAATCGAGAAGCCGATCACCGTGACCTGCGAGAACGGGCTGCCAGTGCATATACCGTGCAAACAAAACAAGAGGGGCAAAGTGACGGGAGGAAATGGGAGAGGGGAGGGGCCAGGTGAGGGGAAGGGCCAGGTGAGGGGAGGCGGCCAGGTGAGGGGAGGGGGAAACGGCCAGGTGGGGGGAGGGGGAAACGGCCAGGTGAGGGGAAGCGGCCAGGTGGGGGAGGGGGAAACGGCCAGGTGAGGGGAAGCGGCCAGGGGAGGGGGAGGGAAGCGGCCAGGTGAAGGGAGGGGGAGTGGGAGGGGAGGGGAGGGGAAACGGCAGGTGAGGGAGGGCCAGGTGAGAGGAGGGCCAGTGGGGGGGGAAACGGCCAGGTGAGGGGAACGGCCAGGTGAGGGGAGGGGGGAACGGCCAGGTGAGGGAGGCGGCCAGGTGAGGGGAGGGGAAACGGCCAGGTGAGGGGAGGCGGCCAGGTGAGAGGAGGCGGCCAGGTGAGGGGAGGGGGAAACGGCCAGGTGAGGGGAGGGAGGAGGGGCCAGGTGAGGGGAGGGAACAGGTGAGGTTTCACAGCTGACATCTACTGGAGAAAAAACAACTTCAACAACAGATCCTCTCTCCTTTCCTCGCCTCCTCCTCTCTTCCAGCCCATTCCTCTTTCTCTTTTCTTCCCCTCTTTTTTCCTTTCCTATCACCTTCTGTTGCCTCCTCCTCTTCTCTCTCTCCCCTTCTGTTTATTTTATCTGGATGTGAGAAGTGAAGTACTTTGTGTTACATTTGTTTGTATGAAAAGCACTCTATAGACTAGAGGTGAGATCGGGCCTAAAAAATCCAGCCCGACCCGACCCGGCCCGCGGGTATTAAAACCTGACCCGGCCCGAGCCCGACCAATTAACTTGATTTGCAGGCCCGAGCCCGAAGCAAACCCGAAATGTCATATTTTATTTGTGAGGACTCGGGAGGAGGAGCAGTGCTCAGCGTCGAGGTGCCAGTCTTTTTGCTCTCGTATGAAAGCAAAGCGCCACATTGACGACATTCAGCGAAGCCAACGCAAGTTTCTGTAGCATTTTCAACAATCAATTTGAAGCTTTTCCACACCTCACTCTTACCGGTGCGTGTTTGTCTTTTCAGTTCTCCTGCCTTTAGTTTAACTTCTTGCTCCTCCATATTGGGGACACCAGGTCAAAATAGATGCAGACTTGCGGAGGGGAAGATGATTAAATTAAGAGGGGGCGTTCACGTGCGCAGAGCTCTGGCTCTGCGGATCCTGTTTAGTAGTTAAATAGCAATTACATTACATTACTTCTCTGTTTTATCCATATTATTTATTTTATAACAAGTATTCCTTAGTTTAGTATCCACACATCGTTTTAGCATACATTTATAAACATATATTTATTTGAAGCCCGAGCCCGACCCGACCCGAAGTAATGATTGACATTTTAGACCCGACCCGAAATTCGGGTCGGGTCGGGTCGGGCTTGGGCTCGGTCTTAAGATCTTACCTCTACTATAGACCATTATCACGCTTCCGGGTTTTGTGGGCGGGGTTTATTTACTTTGTGAACTTCCACTTCCGGCGCAACAACAACAATGACTCAAACGATGTCTAGATGTCACTGCTCTTTTTAAATGATGAAATAATCAGCAGGATCAATGCATATTCTTTGTAAATACTTTGTAATAGCTTTATAATTGGCAAAAGAAGTTACTGGGACCAGTTAAAGCTCCACAGCGGGAGCAGGACAAATGTATCAGACACAAAAAGGAGGAAAAAAGTCCGCTTCAAACAGGTGTTCTCGCTCTGTCTTTTTTATTTTCTTACAGCATCGTAATGTCCATTGAAGTCCGAAACATCACGGTGCTTTGAGAAAACAAAGCACCGAGAAATCCTGGTTAAAGCGGACTTTTTTTCTTCTTTACGTGCTAGCAAAAGAGACACTCGTATGCCGACGTTAGCTGACTGAAACTGAGAGGCGAACGTTCTTTCTCTCAGAATACAAATGACATGGGGGAATTTACTTAGCTTCATTTAAAAATACTCTTGCTTTTGTTGGGTATGTTGGGTAAACGCCTTATATCCATACACCAAACTGACGTTAGCATAAACTAACCCTTCTGTTCTAAAGCATAGGTAACCCCTGTCCCGACATACAGTCACTCCAGCAGACCCGCACTCTGTCATACCGACAACCCTCCACCCCGACATGCCCCCATTCCGACACCAGTGAACCAGGACTAAACCAGGACTAATCTTGAACGAGAGAGAGAAAAAGATACAGAACCGCCATCCCGTATTGGAGGGTATTTGGCGTAAAGCTCTGTGCCATTAGAGCGCAGAGCTTTACGCACGCTGCTCTGTTGGCACGAGAGGGGGCCACATACGCCTGACCTCCTGCAGGTTAGAGCGCGTGGAGGTGCCAGGTTAACGAGTGCGTAAAAGTCCGCAACTTTAAGTGCGCGCACGAGGAGAATGAGCGCTGCAGCCGCCTCTTTATAAACTTTTATGAGTTTATAAGGGACCGACGCATTTCTGTGTCCCTGTGTAAGCCGATCTGTCCTCTATGACCAGGTATAATTCTAAACTTTTATCCCTTATTCATGAAAATATCCAGATTCCTAAATCATTGATCTTTTTACTGTCTCTATCTGACTGCGAGCCCGGCACCGGTTCACTGCCGCAACACACTGAACTTTACAGCGCATTCTCGTGCGCCCTGGTCTTTGCCAACAGGTAATGAATGTCTCCTGCTCCTGTCCATTCACAAAAATGTCCAAATTGCCACACAATTCATTTTTCGTGTCACCGCGCGCCTCCACCTGCAGTGTCAGGTAACGCCCCGTAACCTCTTCATTCATAAAGTTCCAAATTCTTACGCGTCTGTCCCTTGTAGCCGCGCTGTTCGGCTGCACTCGCAGAACCAGCACCTTTACGCACAGTGGTGCCTTCAACAATAGGATTCCGCCACTCCTACCAAAGGATAAAGAAATGTCGGAGTGCAGGGACGTTTGATAAAAAATGGAAATGCTGCTACTCTGACAATAACACGTCAATATCGGAGTGATGGTTTGTCGGATTGGCAACTGTAAAGTTATGTTCGCTAGTAGCCACTCACCTTCATAGTCGTAGGTGAAATTTTCAAAAAATAAACTGTGTCCGTTGTCCACTTTGGAGCGGGCTGTGATTGAATGTTGATCAATGAGACGATGTACGTCGGAAAAGGATATTTTCAGAAAATTTATAAGGGATGTAGTCTATGTAAACAACTTCGGTTCGTCCATCATCAGTTCAATCAACAGAGTGACAATTCACCGGAAGTAGGCGTGCACAAAGGTCACTGAACGCGTATCAGCGTGATAATAGTCTATAAATAAAGTTTGATTGATTGATTGAAGCCATGGAGTCACCCGGGCCTCTGCTTTTTATTGTATGTGAATAAGAGCAGCGCCCTCTGCTGGACACTGTCGGTACTGACTGTACACAAAAATAAAACTGATTTGGCCCTGGATGAGTCCTGGTTTAGTCCTTCTTTAGACTTGCATTAGACCTGGATTAGATCTGGTTTAGTCATGCATTAGACCTGCTATAGTCTTGCTTTAGACCTGGTTTATCCCTGGTTTAGTCCTAGTTAGTCCTGGTTTAGTCCTGGTTCAGTCCCGCTGGTTTAGTTGAGTCCTAGTTTACGTGAGTCCTGGTGTAGTCCTGGTTTAGACCCGGTCTGTCCCTGACTCAGGCTCAGGAGTGGAGAGAGTCGCCCTCTGGTGGACATGAGGAGTATTACATTATACAACTCTGGAATAGACTCAGTTTTAGAGCAGATTTTAACTGAAAATACAAACATGTGATTTCAACATATTGACCATAAAATTATTTAAAGAGGATGTGTGACGCTAACTGGAGGCCCTGCTCTGTCTGAGGCTCTGTTACTCAAGTTAGACTGGAATCTGAGTTTTGTTTTAACGCAATCCGACCATAAAGAACTGATTGAGCTCTAGTCCATATTACAGTATTTTCTGATCTGCGTTACAATGTCGTTTCCTCATCACAAACAGAACTGGAGTTGTGTTTTGTTTCATTCACATGTTTAACACACAAACCTGCAGATTTAGACTGAGATCTTCTCTCAAAAAAACAAAAACAATCTGTTCCACCTTGTGATGAGATGGAGGGACATAATGACGAAGATGATCATTGTGGCCTGCGAGAAAGGGTTACCCGTGCATCTGAAGTGCAAAAACTAATCTAACATGCTTTGTTTTATTACATGCTTTACATTACATCACTCACCATGTCCATATCTGCTGTAACAACAACAAAAAACCTTTGTCTGTGTTCCAAAAACTCATCGCGCTTCACAAATGGATTATTTTATTTATCATCAAGAGATACTTTTTTTTTTTTTTCCACAACCGCTACCATTACTACTACAACTATCTAATATACTAACTACTATTACTATTAAGTTACCGTTGTAGTAGTAGTAGTAGTAGTAGTAGTAGTAGTAGTAGTAGTAGTAGTGGTAGTAGTAGTAGACTCAGTTTTACAGCAGATTTGAACTGAAAATACAAACATGTGATTTCAACATGTTGACCATAATAATATTTAAAGAGGGTGTGTGACGCTAACTGGAGGCCCTGCTCTGTCTGAGGCTCTGTTACTCAAGTTAGACTGGAATCTGAGTTTTGTTTTCACATAATCCGACCATAAAGAACTGATTTAGCTGAAGTGCAGCAGCTGATTTGTGCTGTTAAACAAATTCCCTCTCAAATAACATTTGAAAAGTCACTCTCAATAGCACAAGGCTTCTATATGTTTTTACAAATTATTTTATTTATTATATTTTAATTAATCTAATTATCTAGAATTATTAATGACAAATACATGTAACACACACAAAAAAAAAAAAAATTCAAAAATGTATAAAGTCCTACAGATTGACTCATATGTCAACAATCTGGGCATTAAAGACAAATGAAAAAAGGAAAGAAATTTTATAATAATAGAGGAAAACTGGGAAGAATCATTTAAAGATGGACATAAAATGTTATGTCTGAATGGAAATCTAAGATGCAATATTTTATTGTTCCAACAAATGTAACAAAATACAGTACAAAATCTGATAAATACTGGAAGGTTGTGGTCAGACAGGAGATTACACACACTTACTATGGGACTGTCCTTTAATCAGAGACTACTGGGACAATGTAAAAAAGAAAAGAAAATTGAAAGTATTTGTAAGGAAAAACAAAATTTTGATTTACAGCTATTTATATTGAGTATCATAGCAAAAACTGTCTCAAAAAGATAGGAAAATTATTCTAATATTAAGTACAATAGCAAAAAAAATGATAACTCTGTCCTGGCTAAAACTTGTCAGACTGGCGCCACCTAGTGCCTACACTCAATTTAATTTCTCTCCAGTGACTAGGTCAGGAATCAGAATACACTAGACGGTTCGCAAAAACCCCGGAAGTGTGAGTTTGGGCACCAGCCAATCAGCAAAGATCCAGACATTCTGTGCTGTGTTGTCAACGATTCCTGAGATCGAGGATTTAAAGCCAGAACAGAGAGAATGTTTGGTGAATTTTATCAAGGGGAAAGACGTTATTGTCCTTCTTCCTACAGGATTTGGGAAAAACTTAATATGCCATTAGCCCCATTAGCAGCACATTACATATGTCACGACCAAATAGCAGAGATTGGTTAAATAAAAAAAGTACCATCTACCATCAAGCAAATGATTTCTAATGCTGCGAAGTCAAACAGTTTCCACTAAGTGAAACTGGCTGATGAATCAGGATAGGCTAAAACCACAACCTCCTACGAAAGAAAATTGGTGAGAAAGAGTTAAAGATTTGATGGAAATGGAAAGAGTAAAAGCAAGACTGTGATTTAAAGTGAAGGAATTTGAGGAGTTATGGGCACCTGTAATACAGTGTGGTTTTTAGTTTAGTTTATTTTACTTATTTAGTCTCATGCACTATTTAGTTGGTGTCCAGCTCACATTGGCTTATAAGACACATAAAACAATAATCAGACAGATAACACATCAAACTTAAAGGTTGTATAGAGGATTTATTTTTATTTTAATAATATTTTTTATTTGCAAACTACATCGATTACAACAAATAGGAACCAGACAACATACAAGATACAAGACAGACATTACGACTGAACATTACATACAAATAGGGACAAAGATGACAGGGGTTGGTGACAGTGTGAACCTTATGTGTGTGTATATGCGTGCGTGTGTGTACGTGTGTGTATGTATGTATAGAGGATGTTTTAAGGGAAGAGAAATACAGCGACAGTCCTTTTTCGAATGTTGCACATACGTGGCACCACTTCTCTCCTCCACAGCCTCAGTAAAAACACCTCCTCCTGCCTCCTTAGTCTAGAAATCACGTTTCCTGTTAGAAGTAATTTAGCGACCGACGAGTCAGTTTTTAGACCCTTCGTCTGCTTCAATTCTTTTTTTTGTGAAATCCGATGTTTTTGCGAGGTCGTTCACATTTCCAATTAAATGTGACTTGTATGTGACTCCAGTGTGAACAGTAAACGGCCCGAAAGTGTCCCACATGTGACACTGGAGACACGACGACGTCAACCGCAGTGAGCGTGCTCTGTGTTTACGGAAGTTGTCCAAACATGGACGCAGCATTGAGCACCTGGAGATTTTAAAAGTTCCTCTCGTACCGGAGCCAGAACATGAACAACTTACTTGTTTTAAGGGAGGAGATTGAGAAGGAGAAGGACGAGGTTTTTGGTCGTGGTGTTTTGTGGGCAGCGGCAGCGACGTCCGTTGAAAGGAACGTGTGGATGTGGAGACGGAGCCAAGAGTGGTGAGTGGTGATGTGCTTCTCTTCAGTGACATGGAGTTCATTAACAATTTTCACCTACTTCAGCGCAGAATAGTGACGTTTGTGGTCTTGTTGATAACGTGTAGGTGGATGAATGCAGTTTGGCCGTTCACACTGAAGTCGCATGTCAAAAGATCAGATATGTATCGGTTTCAGGAAGCACATATCCAAGTGTCCTGGGTCACATTTGAAAAAATCGGATCTGTGTCGTTCAGACTGTCATTAAAAGATCAAATACAGGTCACATAGAGGCCAAAAAAATCGGATTTGGGTCACTTCAGGCTGCAGTCTGAACACAGCTTCAGAATCACCTCAGTTTGGCTTTGCTCCTTTTCTCCTTCTCTTCTTCTTTCAGCGACCTGATAAACAGATTTTCTTTTGCGGCGAACTGGTCATGGATTCTCGTCCACCATCGCAACAAACTTTAGCTTCCTCGCAGTTCGCACACAGTCCGAAAAAGCCTCTAAGAACCACTGCATAAACCACGTAATCCCAACGTGGCGACAAATCAGTTACACTAGAAACATAGGGAGTTTGATTGACAACCTAACAGCCAATAGATAAAGAGGGAGTCTTGTTTTCTATTGGCTGATGTTTATCTGGCCTCACTACGTCCACAGTTAATAGATAAAAAAATTTTTTTTTTTTTGGTCATCTTAATTACAAGGCTGCTGCGTCTCTGTAATGATATTTTAAACTTTCATTTCAATTTGAAACAAAAAAAAATCCTCCATACAACCTTTAAAGTGTCCTCTTATAGAGGTCCCAGACTTTCAACACAAACTGAGCCAGCGTTAAAACATTACATTTAAACAAATACTCCAGTCTCTCCTCATCAGATCAGACACAGCAAACAAACAGTAAGAAACATTAGGCAAACAACTGAGAGCAAAGGTCAGGATATAAAGGACAGTAGGACAGAAAATACATTTCATTTTCAAAGTTCTTTAAGTCACACAGACACATGTGCTCCTCCTCTGGGACTGAGAGGAAGCGTCCTGTCTCCAGAGCCAGAGGCAAAGTCCCACACCTCAGCTGGGCACATACTGATCTTTAGAGTGACGTAAAGCTCAGGACCAAAACAGTCTTTAATTAAAATATATGTTCTTAATTTTGGTTTACATAAGATTTCACTGTGCCACTTCTGTT